TCCTGTTGCTGCTGACAGCGGCCGCACAAGCAGCGAGCTTCTGCCCAGAGGATTATGTCATTTCTCCATGCACCTGCGGCAATGATAACGGCGGCGCGAGCGTCTATTGCTCCGGCTCGTACATGTCGGCGGCAGAGATGACGGCCATCGTTGGCCGCTTGCAGAACACGACGATGAGTCGCCTTCAGATCGGCGGCTTCGGCGACCTGACCGAGATACCGGCAGGCATGTTCAGCGGCATGAAGATATTTATGCTGATCATCAGCGACTCCAGCCGACCGACGATGAATGAGCAGTCGTTCGCGGGTATACGCGGCCTGACGGAGCTGATCCTGTCGGGGCTGCAGATGACCGAGGTGCCGTCGGTGATCTTCCCCTCTGTCAGCCATGTCGGTAAGTGCTCCGTGTAGTTCGCATGACCGTATGGCGGCATTGCATGCAGTCACCGCTTAGAGAGGCAAGTGCGGTAGTCGTTATTAACGAATTCCTTTTAATCTCAAGAGCACTGGAGCGGTTTATATTATTTTGGGGACGCGGGATTGGACCATTTTTAATTATCTGGTAGCCGGGTAATGCCGGATAAATCTTTAAAATTAGGATGATTTTAAGATTTAAAAAAGCGGGGTGGTAGCGATTTTATTTAACTGGGAACTGTCATATTTTTTTACATAGAACTTGACATGTAATTTGTACCTAGAAATTGGAATATATTTTGTTACCTGGGGTACTGGTAATAGACACCCTCGTCCCCCCAACCACCCCGCGACTGTATTCACTGATTGAAACAGGGATTTAGAAGACACGAGAGAGCTCTGTCCTGATGAAGAAAAGGAAGGAATAAAGATAGATGGCAATCATTTCAGGCGAATTTCGATGTGACACGGATGATAATTTCTATCATTATCTTCAGATTGCCTGCATCTCAGCTACAATCGTTTCACCACGCTGCCTGACAGAATATTCTCCCCCTTCACGCGACTACGTAGGCTCTTAATTTCTAGAATTCGGCTCACTCACTACCATTGCACCCAACGCGCTGGGAGGTCTATCAACACTAGCGGTACACATTTATTTAACGGCCATGAGCTGCCGTGGGAGTGTTAGTAACTTCACAGTGTGTTTATTACGCAGTGTTTCACCCCACGATCGCGTGATGCCATTTCTATCGTTTGTCCAACCGCAATCTCACACTCGCATTTTAAAACATTAGTGGCTACTGCACCATTGTCCTGTCCTAAGCCGATTTCATCCCTAAACTGTTTCAGTACTTGGACTTGTCGCATAACAAAATCGGGTTCATCGAACCGGGGCTCTTTGCCGAAATGGGACAACTCTACACGATGATGCTGGAATACAATAATCTGCACGCTCTCGAAGCGGGCACCTTCTCCGGATTGAGAAAAGTGTCCAATCTTGATCTAGAATACAATAGCATCGGCCGCATCGATGCTGGGGCCTTCGAAAACACAGACGGCATTACTTTCTTGAAACTATTTAAGAACAAGCTAACTTCTATTAAAGCCGGAGCATTCGCGGGATTAAACAAGCTAGAGGCAAGTTGCGATCTAATCCGGATTAAACAAATTTGCGAGTTTACCACTGGGTACTAGTACAATGAATCCTCACTGTGGATTATGATAAGCTATTGCGAAATCAGTAAATTGTGAGGTTTTGTTACGCAGCATATGAATAACCTCGTCAGCGTGTGCTGTCATCCGACAGCTCTGATATAGAAACGTTCAGTAGTTTCGACAAAAAAATATAGGCTGCACTCTGTTACCGCAACG